GTTTTCTTTTTTCCCAAGTATTGCTCAAGAAAAAATCTGGTAGTTTTGTCTAATAGAGACAAAACCCAATAGATATACAAAGTGATCATAATGGATGCAGCACATGCAAGACTTTCCTAGCAGTCATTCGGAAAACAATGATAAGGACATTATCAAAAGTGGTATATTTTCTCCAAAGAGCTCAAAGTGCTTTTGTATTGTTTTCAAAATAGGTTTCATTATTATCCCTACTTTGGCAATGAGTCTTCTTCTATGTCAAAGTGTGATTCTTCCTCTTATCATTGCTGGCTTGCACAGATTTTATTGCTTGAGATATCTGCTCACACTGTTCTTAATGACCACGCTTTGCTTATTGACACTAGGAGGGTGACTACCATCTGTACTGACACCATCAGAACTGCACAGAAATCTTCATTTTATATTCTGTGATGCTAGTGTTTTGAGGGGGAAAAAAAAGCAAGAACAAAGCAGATAATTGTGAGAAACAGTGAGAAGGAAAGAAGTTTCTGTTAAATGATAAGTATAGATTAGAAGGTACATTTTCACTCAGTTATTGAAGCCCCCTTGGAGCCAATCTCTTCTGGGTTGTTACAAAGCAGTACACAAATCCTACTTATACAGAATATGACTACATCCTAGTTACAGAGAGAGACAAAGCACAGGTTGTTAACACTTGGTCATCTAGGTGAAGGGTATTTGGATGCTCACTATTCTTTCAATTTTTCTATGGGTTTGAAATTTTTTGAAACAAAAAATAAAAATTTTAAAAGCATCATAAAATTTAAAAATAACAATAAATTGGAAAACATTTCCAACACACATGATATAAAAATTGCTAATATTCTTAAATACAAAGTGCTCTCGCTGATAATAATAATAATAAAAACCCTTGACATAGACAAAAGGACATCAATAGAATACTCACAGAGCTAGAAGTGCAAATAACCAGTAAATAGGTGAAAAATATTTAATCTCACTGGTAAACAAGAATTAAATTATATATTACTGTTTTTCTTAACAAACTAGCAAAACATGTCATTTAAAACACCCTAATACTCAGTGCTGATGAGGGGGCCGAAAGATGGGTGTACTTTTATACTACTGGTGGGAGGTATAAGTTGTCACAAAGTTCTTAAAGGAGGTTTTTCAACGTATGTGAGAAGATTAAAAAAATTGTTATTTTTTAATTTAGTAGTTTGTATCTTAGGAATTTATCCTAGGATATAAGGAGAGATACACATGGATCTCTGTATAAGTTTGTTCATTTCAGTGTTATATTTAGTAGCAATAAACTTGGAAATACCTTAAATGTTAACAGTAACTGATTAAATTTGCAACACATCTGTGTATTATATAGCTATTAAAACCGATATTGTCCAAGACATTTTCATGACATGGAAAAATTCTCACAGCATATGTTGAGGGGAAAAAAGGGGGATGCAAAATTGTATCTCAATTCAAATTCACTTTAAAAAAAAAATTTATTTATTTTTGGCTGCATTGGGTCTTTGTTGCTGCACACGGGCTTTTCTCTAGTTGTGGTGAGCAGGGGCTACTCTTCGTTGTGGTGCACGGGCTTCCCATTACAGTGGCTTCTCTTGTTGTGGAGCACGGGCTCTAGGCACTTGGGCTTCAGTAGTTGTGGCATGCGGGCTCAGTAGTTGTGGCTCTCGGGCTCTAGAGCACAGGCTCAGTAGTTATGGTGCACACAAGGCAGGTTGATTTGTTAGTTGTTCCGCGGCATGTGGCATCTTCCTGGACCAGGGCTCGAAACAGTGTCCCCTGCACTGGCAGGCGGATTCTTAACCACTGTGCAACCAGGGAAGTCCCCAAATTCACTTCTAAATACATAAATACAGAGATAAAAGGATTTGTAAGAAATACACTAAGAGAGTTTCACTTCTAGGAAGATGGTATAGACATACTTTCCCCTATTCCTTTTGATAAATACAATTAAAACCCCTGGATGTTATATATAAAACAACCTTAAGAAGACTGAAAGGTGGAGAGAAGGGGAGGAATGATGGTGAGGTCCCTGGGTTTTCCGCTTGCCTCATCTATCCCATATCTGACCTATTTTATTTTCATTTTCTCTGAATAAGTTCTCTTAACATTTCTTGCAAGACAAGTCGCTGGTGACCAATTCTCTTAGTTTTTGTTTGAGAACATCTTTATTTCTTCTTCACTTTTGAAGATAATTTCGCTGGATACAGAATTACAGGTTGGCGGGTTTTTTCTTTCCACACTTCAAATATTTACCTCACTCTCTTCTTGCTTGCGTGGTTTATGAAGAGAAGTTTGATATAATTCTTATCCTTGTTCTTCTACGGGTAAGTTTTTTCCCCAGTCTTCAAGATTTTCTCTTTGTCCTTGGTTTTCCATAGTTTGAATATGATTTGTCTAGGTGTGGTTTTTTTGGTATTTATCCTCCCTAGTATTCTCTGAGCTTCCTGGGTGTATGGTTTAGCATCTGTCATTAATTTTGGAAAACTCTTAGCCATTATTACTCAAATATTTCTTCTGCTCCTTTCTCTCTTCTTTTCCTGATATTCTCAACATGGGTATGTTACACCGTTTATAGTTGTCCCACAGTTCCTGAACATTCTGTTCTGCTTTGTTAATTTTTTTTCTCCTTGAATTTCATTTTTGGAGTTTATATTGACATTTCTTTAAGCTCACTGATTCTCTCCTTGGCCATGCCCAGTCTGTTAATAAGACCATCAAAGGCATCCTTCATTTCTGACAATATTTTTTATTTCTAACATTTCCTTTTGATTCTTTTTGGAGCTTCAACCTCTCTGCTTACATTACCCATCTGTTCTTGTATATTGTCCACTTTTTCCCACTAGTGTCTTTAGCATATTAATCAGTTATTTTTAATTCCTGGTCTGATAATTCCAAAATCTCTGTCATATCTGAATCTGATTCTAATGCTTGCTTTGTCTCCTCAGACTGTTTTTTTTTTCTTGCCTATTAGCATGGCTTGTCATTTTTTGTTGGAAGCTGGACATGATGTATTAGGTAATAGGAACTAAGGTAAGTAGGCATTTAGTGTGAAGTAAGTAGGCCTTTATCTGGCCAGGTGTTATGCCATGTTTACTGTCTGCTGTAACTGTAGATATCTGAGGCTTCAATTTCCCCAGCTATCTTTGTTTTTGTCCCCCCTATTGTTTTTGGGTTTCCCTAGAAACTCCTTCCTAAATAGAATCTGAGACTTGCAGTTCTTTCACCTGTAATCCTCTGTATGCAGAGGCTCTGTGGATGTAGTATGTGTTGGGGGGGAACGTGCAATAATCCTGTGATTAGGTCTCATTCTTTTGGAGGGTCTGTGTCCCTGTTACCATCACAAGTTTTTCTCAGCATTTCCCCCCCTTAGGTGAGACAGGAAGACTAGAGGGAGCTGGAGTCAGCTAATTGCCCTTCTTCAGGTCAGATAAGGCTTTGATAAAATAGTTTTCCCTGAGACCTAGCTTTCATTATAGAGAACAGAACAAAGAACAGAACTTGGAGTATTCTCTTCCTTTTTCCCTGCTGGAAGCAGGAGGGGATTTTTCTCTGATCTTCACAGAGAAAACAAGGTGGGGCTCCTAGAGGTAAAACTCATGGAAGTATGGGTCGTCCGCCATCCTAAGACTTGGCCCCTCAGAGTTTTTTACTCTCAAGGGAATCCACACTGAGCCTCCAGAAATTTGTTGACTAGAATTTAAGTGCTCTTCCCAGTACTGGCTCCAGCAGCAGGTTTCTGCTCTTGGGCTATATCCACCTCTTTCTCCAGTTTTGAAGGCAGCAGTTTTCCCTGTGATCTCAATTCTTTGATGTATCTAAGAAGAGTTGTTTTTCTGATTCTTCAGCTTTTCTTGCTGAGGATTGGAGCGAAACTTCCAAGCTCTTTACATGTTGGAATGAAACCAGAGTCCATAAATTGCTTTTTAATTGTAATTTTACAAAAGTGGGCATCACAATAGAATCAAGAAAGTGAGTCATTTGTTGTTGAATTTAATTGACCTTAATTATGTTGACCATCTTAAAGAACTGGAACCTGCTTTAAAATTAAAATTAAGACCTACATTACACACATATACACATTCTTACAACTTTATTTTGTTTGCACATTGCTATCCCATGGAACTCCTCACTGTTTAACAAGGAAGACCTTTAACCGCCTTTGATCCTTAAGTTTCTGCAATTATATAAAATAGCAGAAGTTTAAAGAGTATAATGATGGGGACTTCCCTGGTGGTGCAGCGGTTAAGAATCTGCCTGCCAATAGATTCAACATGGGTTCGAGCCCTGGTCCGGGAAGATCTCACATGCCACGGAGCAACTAAGCCCGTGCACCACAACTACTGAGACTGCGCTCTAGAGCCCAGGAGCCACAACTACGGAGGCTGCGTGTCACAACTACTGAAGCCCGCCTGCCTAGAGTCTGTGCTCTGCAACAAGAGAAGCCACCGCAATGAGAAGCCCACACACCGCAAGGAAGAGTAGCCCCCACTCGCCCCAACTAGAGAAAGCCCTCACGCAGCATCGAAGACCCAATGCAGCCAAAAATAAATAAATTTATGAAAAAAAAAAAAACTAAAAAAAGTAAATGAAAAATATAAGGATGAACTGCTTAGGGATCAGCATTTTGAATATATTTAACGTTGGCTATATTGTGACTTAATTTTATTTAACAAAATACAGCATATTGTATTTTTTTAATTGAGAAATATTTTATAGAGTAGTAATTCTGTCAACTGTGCATCATATAAACTCAGCCAGAGATAGAGCTTTTTATTCATGCTATAATGGTCATTATCAGGCTAGGAAGTTCTTATGCTTAATAAACAACTGCAGTTTTATAGTGGTAAAAATGCTAAAGTTGGTCAAATTTATTGTCATTACCAATAGAATATTTCCCATAAAATGTAATTTAACTAGGAAGCATTGTTTTTAAGTTACAATTTGTGAAGCTTTTATGATAGCAAATTTGACTTTAATTTTTTTTTTAAACTTAGGTTGCTTCCAGCTGTAATTGATCAGAAATCATTTATTTTCCCTCTGGAATCTGAGGGGAAACTTTGGCAACCCCCAAGACAGCACAGTTCACTTCCACATGCCTTTCCAAGAGTAAAGGTAGGAAGAGAGGAATCCATAGAGACAGAAAGTGGTTTGGTGGTTGCCAGAGGCTGGAAGGAGGAGGCGGGGGAGAGTGGGGAATGACGTCTAATGCTTGTCAAGTGTCTTTGGGGGAGGATGAAATGTTCTGGAATTAAATAGTGGTGATGGCTGCACAACTCTGTGAATCTACTAAACACCATTGAATTATACACTTTGAAAGGGCGAAATTAAAGTTTATGAATTGTATCTCCAAAAAGCTGTTAGAAAAGAATTTTTTTTTTCCAAGAGCAAAGGTGGGAAATTGTGTTCTAAATGAGAAAACATGCCATTGTTGTTTCAGATATGTTCACAGCATGGTCAATTTCTATGACAAAAGAGCTTTCTTTGAAGTTAAGTTTCCAGGTGGCAAGGAATAGAGCCCAAGAGGTTTCTGGCTTTTGGTTATTCTTTCAATTTGATTCCTGTTTCCTCGCCGACTCCCCCAAAGTGGTAACAGTTCACCTCTTCTGGGTACCAGATGCTATTTTCAGTGCTTTGGGAACATTAACTTGTTTAACCTTCAGAATAATCCTAGAAGGAGATGTTATTATTATCTTCATTTTATTGATGAAGAAGCCAAGATGCAGAAATGTTAAATAAGTTGCCCAAGAGAACACAGCTGGTGTCAGAGCCAGCATCATGAACCCAGAAATGTAGGGATCCAGGGCTGTGCTCTTAACCACCGTGATACCCTTTTTCAAGTAATAGCTTTATTGAGATACAATTTATGTACCATAAAATTCACCCTTTTAAGAGGTTTTTAGTATATTCACAGAGTTGTGCCACCATCGCATGGTACCCTTTTTACAATTGTTTGTATTAGTTCTAGGTACTTTGGTAGGAAGCATCTTTGCTGTGGACATCTTTGTTGCAAGCATTTCCACCACAAGCATTTTTGCCACATAACTAATTGGCCATAAGGCAATTTTGCTATAAGAGATAAAATAACAAAAAACAAAAGAGGGACATTAACAAGGACATAAAGAAGCATGAGAAATTAATAACAAAATTTAAATGACTTTTTTGCAAAATACAAAATATTTGAATACATTTAAAATGTGGGTAGATCATGGCACTACGGTACAAATGACCAATTTTATTTTGTGGGTTTTACCTAAGCACTTGTCTTTCAAGTCTTTCATTCATAGTATTGTATACATATTTTTGTTTGTTTGTTGACTCGTCTCCTTGTTTGGCATTGTGCTTTTTCTTTTTCACTGACATTTCATCCGTCATTAAGAGAGGTATCAGTTTCCAAATACTAGGGTGCGTGTTTGTACCTGAGCTTTGCGTTGCCCTGTGAAAGCTGCTAAGCTGTGTTCTATTCTTGGCATATTTGTTACATGTCCGCTGATAGATGTTCCAAAGTTCTATGCGAAACCTGGCTTCAACTCTGCACCTTCAAGGCCTTCAGTCTCTTTCTCTTTCCAGGTAGTGTGCTTCAAAATAAGAAACCAGCTCTTGGGGCAAATCATCATCGATCAGCTTGATAAAGCCATCAATAATGACTAATGCATTTCAACCAGTGGAAACTGTCAAATCAAAAACCGTCAACCAGTTATTTTATCTTTCATGGCAGAATTGCCTTATGGCCAATTAGTTATGCAGCAAGGATGTTTGCAGCAAAAATGCTTACAGCAAAGATGTGTACAGCAAAGATGCTTATGATGAGAATACCTTATATTTTCCTTTACTCCATTTGCCAAAATTTGTAACTAGATATTGTTATATGATTTTTAAAAAAATGCCCGACTTCCCACTAGATTATAAGCTTAATGAGGGCAGGATCCATGTCAGTTTGTCCATTGCAAAGTCATGCCAGGTTACTCTCAACAAATGTTTGTTGAATGAATAAATGAAACCGCCACAGTGACTTCGAATGGTGTGCTCATCCCCATATAAAATATTAATCCAGGATCCTCTGCACTCTCAAAGCAGCCCACTCCTACCTTTGTCACTGTACTTGTCACATTGGGTTCCTTCAGCCACTATCTGTGGAGTACTTCCTGTGTGCCAAGGACTGTTAGAGGCACCCCGGGATGAACAATTCAGACCAGGTCCCCCCACTCTCACAGAGCTTACATTCTAGGGGAGTGGAGATAGACCATCAATAAGAAAATACCAGGTAATAATAAAGGCTCTCATGAAAAACAAAAACAAAAACAGAGTGCTGTTATAAAGGGAGCTTAAACTTCTCATCTTCCTTACTATTAAGCCTCTGCTTTCATTAAATGTTTACTTTGCCAAGAATCTCAGGAGGGCCAGAGTTAGTCCATAAGCGGAAGATTAGAGATCTCCAGGTTGTAAAGACAATGAAATAAAATATATGAAATTAGGACTATTTTAGAACACATAGTTGCTATTATTATTCCAGGAAAAAAAAAAAAAAAAAACCTATGGCCAGAAATTTATTTTCCCAAAAGAGTTCTGAATCCTGGCAAATGATTATAAAGATAAGGGATCTTATGTGCCCCGTGTTCTTTTAAATACTGCGAGCAGGGGTGAGCTTCATTTAGAAAGGGGCATGGACTGTTTCCCACCCTGACTTTACCTTCAGGGCCTGGATCCCTATTGTTGTTTTATATCTAATATCAGTGACATCAGCTTAAAAATGCATAACTGCTGACACAAAGATAGCCCTAATTTTGCGCTGTAAAGTCAATGACAAACAGTGCTGTTTTGCCAGCTGTTCTATAAGCCTACTACACCAACTTCAAAGCTTGTATTATTGAGTAGCTGTGAAATCCAGCTGGGATATTACCACCTTTAATTGCCCACTGCCAACCTTTTAAAGTAGGTAAACCCCAGTTGCTCCTTTAAGCTCTTTCTCCAAAGTAAAGAAACTGTGTTTTGGAATTCCATTTCACACCAAAAAACTAAAATGACAAATCATCTGGAGTTTCTCAGTTGTAATTAAGAATCACAATAAAGAATTGTTTATCAATTTCTTTTACATTTGAAAAAGCCATATTCTGATGGCTTCTCTTTATAATATAAAGAAAAGACTAGAGCTAAGGCTTCAAATCAACACCAGCCCAACCCTTCTATTAGGCACCTTGGACTATAGGCGCACATGTACTCATAACAGTCAAGGAGAGGGTTTGAAATAACAAACGAAATAGATAAGAAGGAGGGAGGAAGAGGAGAAAAACCTTACAGGCCAAGAGAGTGTTTGATTTTCTTGTTGTGTTCGGCAAGCTAAGTCTGAAGCCAATTTCAAATAGAAGTTCCTAAACTGTTTAAATGCAGGGACCTGCTTAGAAGCATGATACAATTTGTATGTTTGTGGAGCAGGGGAAAAAAAACACATCTCATTGCTTGAGAGTTATTTTCCAAATGAATTCCATAAAATGGATGCTTTATCCATCAAAACAAATATAAAAATATATATTGTGATCTAATACAATACAGCAATGTGCAAGATCTGTGTCTAAGATGGGAAGAATCTTTAATTTTGTGAATATGGATCTCACTGAGAAAGTGATTTTCAAAATTTGATAAAAACTAAAGTTTTGAGGATTTTTGCCATTATGAGGAATAATGTGATGAGAGATAAAAGACAGAAAATGTCAGGGCAAGTAAGGGTTGCTTTACAGATTTTCACTGTGAGTTATATCTCACTTAATATTGGATGGGAAAAATCTGCTGGTGAAATAGCGGGTGGATTTTACAGAATAAAGTGGGGAGAAGAGAATGCCTACAAGTAACCAACAAGCACTGTGATCTCTGTCTTCTCATTAGAATATAAGCTCCATGAGAGCAGAAACTTTTAAAAACAATTTTTCCCTTTCTGTGGTTTCTTAAAACCTTCTTAGTATGAAAATATTCAAATAAGCCAAAAATAGTGTATGAATAACTATTTCTCCTTCACCTAGATTTAACAGTTGTTAATCTTTACCAGTTTTGCTTCATCTATTTTTTATTGAAATGTTTTAAAATACAGACATATAGACATTTCACCCCTTAATGCTTTAACATGTGTCTTTAAAAAGGAACACATTCCTTCTTAGCCACAATACCATTATCACACCATTATAACATCACCATTATAACAATACTTCCTGGATGTAATAAACACTCATGTCATATTCAGATTTCCCTCATTATCCTCCAAATGGCTTTTACTGGTCTTTTATCCAAACTTGGATCTGCTAAGATTTATACATTATGTTTGCTTATTTTATTTCTTAAGTCTCTATTAATCTAAAGCAGAGAGACTCTGTTTAGTTCATTACTGTAACCAGTACCTAGACAGTGCCCAGCCTGGAGGAGGCTCTCAATAGATGGCAACATGATGGTCAGAAGTATGAGTTCACATCCCGGTTCTCTACCACTTACTATCTGTACCTTGGCAAGTCATTTAACCTCTCTGTGCCTCAGTTCCTCATCTGCAAAATGGGCTCTATGACACCCTGTTGTAAGGATAAATGAGTTAACATACGTGCATGTTTATAACAGTGCCCCATGCATGGTGAGTGCTATGTAAGTGTTCATTCTTCTTATTTGTTGATGAATACTGGTCAACCTCAAGTATGTACCTGATATGTACCAGGCAGTATTTTAGGCATCTGCCAAATTTCTCTACTCTCATGGGGCTTACATTCTAGTTGGGGTAAGGTAGTCATTAGGAAAACAGAAAACAGTTTGAAAAGTAAACATATAGTATGTTAGTTGATGAGAGAAAAGATAGGTTAGGAACATAGGGAGTGTTGGGATGATCTCACTTGGAAGGTGACACTTGAACAGAAATCTGACGGATATGGGGAAGCAAGTCATTTGGCAAATAATTGGGGAAAGAGCGTTCCAGGAAGAGAAGACAGAACCTGAAAAGACCCTGAATTAGGAGTGTGAACAGCAGGGAAGCTAGAGAGGAATGTGCAAGGGGGAGAGAAGTGGGAACAGGGATAGGGACCAGATCTTGCAGACCATTGTAAGGACTGCGGAGATCTGAGTGAGATGGGAGGCTTTTCACCAGG